CAGCCAAATTATAGTTTCTTCTTTTTTTGATTTGAGTGGGTTATGGCCTTTATTGTTTTTCCCAATTTAAAATGAATATGAAATCAATATGGTGGGCAAGGCCAGATTTTCCATAGGGAAAACTGCACAGAGAAAGAGGATAAATCATGATTGTCTTAACTCTTACTTAAGATGAATGGTGAAAGAAAAGAAAGCTCTCTCTGTATATATTTTTTAAAATAACTATTTTGAGATAGTTTCCATGAATACCTAGTTTATTGAGAGTTTTTAGCATGAAAGATGTTGAATTTTATCGAAGGCTTTTTCTGCATCTATGGAGATAATCATGTGGTTTTTGTCTTTGGTTCTGTTTATGTGATGGATTACGTTTATTAATTTGCATATGTTGAACCAGCCTTGTATCCTACGGATGAAGCCAACTTGATCGCGGTGAATAAGCTTTTTGATGTGCTGCTGGATTCGGTTTGCCAGTATTTTATTGAGGATTTTCACATCGATATTCATCAGGAATATTAGCCTGAAATTTTCTTTTTTTGTTGTGTCTTTGCCAGGTTTTGGTATCAAGATGATCCTGGCCTCATAAAATGAGTTAGGGAGGAGTCCCTCTTTTTCTATTGTTTGGAATAGTTTCAGAAGGAATGGTACCAGCTCCTTTTTGTACCTCTGTTAGAATTCGGCTGTGAATCGATCTGGTCCTGGGCTTTTTTTGGTTGGTATGCTATTAATTACTGCTTCAATTTCAGAATGTGTTATTGGTCTATTCAGGGATTTGACTTCTTCCTGGTTTAGTCTTGGGAGGGTGTATATGTCCAGGAACTTATCCATTTTTTCTAGATTTTCTAGTTTATTTGCATAGAGGTGTTTATAGTATTCTCTGATGGTAGTTTGTATTTCTGTGGGATCAGTGGTGATGTCCACTTTATCACTCTTTATTGTGCCTATTTGATTCTTCTCTCTTTTCTTCTTTATTAGTCTGGCTAGCGGTCTATCTATATTGTTAATCTTTTCCAAAAAACCAGATCCTGGATGCATTGATTTTTTTGGAGGGTTTTTCATGTCTCTATCTCAACATATGAAAAAAAAGCTCATCATCACTGGTTATTAGAGAAATGCAAATCAAAACCACAATGAAATACCATCTCACACCAGTTACAATGATGCTTATTAAAAAGGAAACAACAGATGTTGGAGAGGATATGGAGAAATAGGAATGCTTTTACCTTGTTGGTGGGAGTGTAAGTTAGTTCAACCATTGTGGGAGACAGTGTGGCTATTCCTCAAGGATCTATAACCAGAAATACCATTTGACCCAGCAATCACGTTACTGGGCATAAATCCAAAGGATTATGAATCGTTCTACTATAAAGACACACACACATGTATGTTTACTGCAGGACTGTTCACAATAGCAAAGACTTGGAACCAACCCAAATGCCCATCAATGATAGACTGGATAAAGAAAATGTGGCACATATACTCCATGGAATACTACACAGCTACAAAAAAGGATAAGTTCATGTCCTTTGCAGGGACATGGATGAAGCTGGAAATCATCATTCTCAGCAAACTAACACAGGAACAGAAAACCAAACATCACATGTTCTCACTCATAAGTGGGTGTTGAACAATGAGAACACATGGACATAGGGAGGGGAACATCACACATCAGGGCCTGTCAGGGGATGGGGGAACTAGGGGAGGAATAGCATTAGGAGAAATACCTAATGTAGATGACAGGGTGATGGGAGCAGCAAACCACCATGGCACGTGTATACCTATGAAACAAACTTGCACATTCTTGCACATGTATCCCAGAACTTAAAGTATAATCATAATAATGATAATGATAAACAAAAATTAGATGAGGTTCAGAGAACTTCCCAAATTCAACAAAAGGTATTTCTACTCTGGTTTCTCTCTCTTCTTTCTTGGGATTTCCTGTTAATAGCAGTGACATGGCTTTGGAAAGTTAAAACTCGGCATGAAGAAGAAGGGTGGAAAAACATGGCCGCAGAAAGCAATTATACCATGTTTTCTCCTGTTTCCATGATTGCTCTGAGTCCATGAATTAGAGTTGGTGAATTCTGAGTGAAATCCTGCTTGCCTCTTCTAATTTATACCCAGTGAATTGACCTTCTTTGTACCATTTTGGTTGCTTTCCTGGTCTGGGAACTCTAAGAATATTTGCTAGAAGCAGATATTAATGTGAACTTAGTAAGTAATATGACAAAGGGAGGGGGTTGTGTTGATGCCATAGATAAGATCAATGCAGATGTGCCAGGCCAAATAGAAATTTTAATTACTTTAAAAAAATCTATTACAAGGCAGCTGTGGGGTGTAGAGAACAGTTCATCCCTAGTCTCCAAGGTCCTATATCTCAGCTTCATTTTTCTCACACAAGATCCAGTTATTCCAAACTAAAATTGTGTCTCTAATGATATGGACATGCCCACAGAAGCACAGTAGTAATGAGGCCATTTATATGCACACAATTGAGAGAAAAGGTTATTTCCCAGGAGAAGTTATCTACTTTATTTGACACTCCTATTGTGGTGTATGTTCTTGGATTATAGCATTTATATTTAAATACACCCGGTTCCAATAAAAACTCTCAGTTTACTCAGAAGAGCAGAGTGACAGTGAATCTGACTGGTCTCACAATGGATCTCCGAGATTGTCTAGAGGGGTGTGTGTGTGTGTGTGTGTGTGTGTGTGTGTGTGTGTGTGTAACTTCACCCATATGAAGTTACTGACATATAAATACAACAGATGGAGGCGAATCATACACCAAGGACCTTCAACCTTGACTTCTGTCAGCAGATATGGCTGGAACTTTGCAATAAATCAACAAAAGTTTCTTGCCAAAATATATCTTTGCCCATCAGAAATAAAAGTAAAATACTTCTTAATTTTGTATTAATTTTTAAGAGAGAGTTCTAGTAATAAGACTAGATTAAAAATCTTGGAAGGATGCTAATACTCAGAAAGCAAAAAGAAGACATAGTAACAAATGTATTACAAAGTAACCAAATGAATGGCCCATTCTGCCCTTCCTGTTTAAAGTGACAGTATTTTGTTTTTTGCAGGTGAAATTCAAAATATAGAATTCAAGATACAGATTCTATTATATTCAGGCTGCTTTTTCACATGGGGGTTAAAGTATTGGGTTGTGAGTCAAACTAAACTAAACCATTTTGAGTTTGGCTGCTGTTCCTCTCTAATTTTTCCTGACCTTCCTTTTCTTGGCAGTCTTAGGACTCTAATATCTTGTCTTCTGGCTATGAGAACACAGCACATGATTTGCCTGAAGATTTGTGTTCGACACTTATCCATTAACCTGACAGCAGGAAGTGCTAAAGAGCAGAAACAGGAGTCGGTCACACCCTCACTTCAAGTCCAAGGCAAACATGCTTGCCCCTAAAAGACATACTTGATCTTCAAGTTCAGGAAAGGCAGATACAAAGGCAACTACTAACATTTCTCCCTTATGACTTTGGGACATTCTTTCAGTAAGCTATTTCATCAGTAATTATAATATTAATATATGATTTGTTCCTTTATAGAACAACAGAAGAAATCACTCACTCACACATACACACACACACAAACACACACACCCCAAAGAGAAGCTCAAAACAAGGAATTAAAACAAGAAATTATGGAATTATTGTTTAGATAGGGTTTAGGAATCATGTTTTGGTTTTGTGATAAATTCTAAGTAATACTTCACTTGCCTTTATGTTATCTATAAGTAATTCCCAAGAAACTCTGCCCTGCCATCTTCCAAATGTGACGGTTACCTGGAGGGAATTTATCAGTAACCAATGCTTCTATCAAAAATCGGTAAAAAAATAACTGTGTTGTCCTGTTGAATATTTTCTATATAATGATTAATATAGTGTGAGAATCTCTGTAAACCAGTGAGAAATCATGATAACTAAAGCTCACAAGGATGTTCAAGATTCTAGATTAATCTGTATCCGTCAATCAACTACTCAGATTTTAGCTTAGGCTCCTTCATTTCTACCCTATTAAATTCCCTTTACCATCTTCCTTCTCTTTTCTGTTGTGTTTTGAAAGAAAGCCTGCACGTTAGTGCAACACAATTAGTGGGAATAAGATTCTTCCAATAGTACAGATCAACATGCTTTTTCTTTTCAAAACTGGCAAATACTCATTTAAAAAATTACACTAAACCCACCATTACCACCAAAGTGGCTTATGCATGTTTTGGATTGCACAGACTAGAAACTATATTCCTTGCCTTCTGGAATGTCTGTCTCATCTCGCCTGTTTGATATTCCAGCTCATTGGCTTATGAACCCCCTACCAGGGCAGGTTCTGTTTCCATTCATTATTTGTCCATGCATACATTTGAAAAACATTTCTTGAATGCATTTGCCAATAATAGGGGATTTATGTGACTTTTAATCTAATGCCCATACAAGGTACACATTCTTATTTTGTTGATGAGAAACTGGAACTAAAATTAACTTGCTAGACCAAGTCTGTATGATACCAAAGCTTGTGCTTATTCTTCTACATTATGCAAGACAGAAGGCAATGGATGATTAACTATCGTTTCTACATTTTGTGCTAACATGACCCTCCACTGGCTTAAAACATAGAAAGTTGCCATCCTTCCAGGCAGGACCAACTCAGGGAAGGAAATGAGTACATCTGTTCACTTGCCAAATGTGCTCTTTTGGAAAAAAAAATTGAAGTTATACAAATATTTGCCATTCCATTAACTTATATGATCTAGAGACTAATGAACATAAAATGAATTTTTGCTTTTGGGGCTATTTGTCTTTTCATTAGCTAAAACATTATGACAAACTTCATCTGTAACATAAACAAACCTGAGCTATTTTAAAGTCCAGAAAATGTGAAACTAGTGCCGAGTCTCAGTGGAAGACTACTTTTTACAATTGTCTGCCTCTTTGCAGCAGGCGTCTTCTCTATTTGGTTTCCATTTCGAAATCATGAAATGAACGTACCGTCCTGACCTCCAGCCATCTGTTGGCAGCTGAGAGAAATAAGTAGGCAATGTTGTTTGTATCTGTCAGTTCCAGCATACGTTGTTTAAATCTGGTTTCATGCCTGCAGAAAACAAAAATAATACAATGTTAACCACATAACAGGAGAGGTAATAAAAAACAGTCACACTTACTGCTACACTATTTACTCAACATAGTGACACACTAATGGCATGGAATGATCAGTAAATAGATTTCTGCTTCAAAATAAAGACCAGTTGCTACTGCTCTTTGCATTCTTAGTAGAGATGGTATGGTCAAGTGTTTATTTCCTGTCTTACACCCTTACTAAAAAAAAATGTCCTTCTAATACAACATTGCATTAAAAATCAGTTCATGCATTTCCACATAATTATTGTAGCCATGAGAACAAAGCATAGCCTACTACATTAAAAAGGCCTTACAAAAACCAAGATAAATTGTATAAAAATGCAACTCTACTGACTTTTTGTGGCATTTATTTTACTTTTCCAAACAACAGAGTTAGAGTTGGGTGGGAGGTGCCGGATCAGAACCAGCGAAGACAGAAAACTATGCACTTGCAATTGGCAAAAATGTACTTTTAAATTTCTCTTTTTGCCTAATGTTTCTGGGAACCAAAGAAAAAAATACTCAGGTGGCGACAAGTAGAGGATGGGGGACACTAGAGATGATGGGAAATATTCTTGTTAAATATCTATACCCCCAAATTCTAAAGTATTTGTAAGGTTGGTCATTACATAGAAGGAACTTGGTCTGTGTACTTTCAGGGTTCTATGATATATATAGTTTGGATATTGATCTTCAACAAATTAATTATTGTTGTGCAGTAAAATCACACCACAATTCTGTGTAACTTATTTTATACATGAAACTGTCACTAAAAGCCTTATCCATTTAACCATCTGAGCCACTATCTCAAAGAAATTCTAGCAACATGCTAAAAAAAATCTTCTCTAAATCACAAAAATAGTCTCTTTTCATTTCTCAATTATTTTCCCTGAATAACAAAAACAATGGAAGGCTGGATAATACAATAAAAATAACCGGTTTGAAGGTGAGGAAAATACCAAATTAAAACGTGATTTATTCTCTCTCTGCAGCCAAAGCTTATCTTATAGAGACCTCCCATCTATGGGTTATGTTTGCAAGAAATAAACAAACTTCATCTGACAAAACGGCAGTGATTCCTTCTTGATAAAAGACTTCCCCGATGCCCCCTCAAAATTTTCAATTAAAATTGTAAAATTTTATAGTTAATCATCACATGTCAAAGAATGAAGAAATCCTGGGTGGGGTGTCCACTTGGCCCAATGAAGTGATCCATACAGGCCAATATAAAGCAGACGCTTGATATCTATCCAATCAATCTGATCATTACAGTATGTCAAAAAAGACAGATAATTCAGTTGGACAGTAAGATCTTATCTACAATAATCGAGAACTCAACAATCATAGCCAACTAATTACCTCGCTTTGAGTTGAGTATCCGTGGCCCAAATGCCATGCTGCCACGGACAGGAGGACCTGGCCTGAATGGCAACACTCTGCTGTGGGACTAAGCAGCTCAAGCTTACCCTCTAGCTCCAGCTGACCCTTTTAGGGATGAATATAGAAAATAACTAAAGGGCAAGGGGGACATTCAAAGAGTTATAGGATTTACTGCAACAGTGAACATGAACCATAAAGATTGTCTGTCTGTCTGTCTGTCTGTCTATCTATCTCTCCCCCCATCAATGTGGGTTTTTTTTTTTTTTTTTTTTTTTTTTTTCCTGCCTTGGGGACAGAGTCTCACTCTGTCACCCAGGCTGGAGTGCAGTGGCACAATCTCGGCTCACTGCAACCTCCACCTCAGCCTCCTGAGTAGCTGGGACTACAGGCATGCACCACCATGCCTGGCTAATTTTTGTATTTTTAGTAGAGTCAGAGTTTCACCATGTTGGCCAGGCTGGTCTTGAACTCCTGACCTCTGGTGATCCACCCACCTCAGCTCATTCTTTTTGTACTTGCTAGGTACATGTTTGGCAGATTTTCATCCATTCATTCAGAAGCAATCATCAACTCTAGACATTATGTTAAACACTGAGAATATAGGAACAAGACATGACCTACTCCCTTGAAGGGTCAACTGTCTGGTGAAGGGAGGAAACACAGCATTAACAAGTAAAAATGGTGCAACACACTATCTAGCTATAAGGACTGTAAGCACAAAATGCTACAGGAACATAAAGGAATAGCAAGATTTGCAACAACCAGATGATCAGCATGGTAGGAAATGGAGTGAAGGGTGGAGAGACAGGAAGGGTTAAGCAAGGTGTCACAAGGGACAAGGAAGATAGTCTGAGTGAGGTTTTAAGGGGTAAGTGGAATGTTTTTGGTGAACAAGGCATTCTAAGTGGTGGGAAACATATGAGCAAAGGCACAGAAATGAGAAGGCGCCACATGTTCTGGGTCTTGAGACAGGTTCTTCTCCCTAGAGGACTGAGTGATGGAGAGATTGGAGATGAGGCCAGGTGGACCAAAGCCAGTGGACTACATTTGAGATGAACCTCAAACACTTGATTCTGACAGACTGCTTTATCTGGGACACTTTTGACTCTTCCTCTAGTTTTGTGATGTTGTTTCAGATCCACTCTTAAAAGAGTTTGTAAATGGAGTTGGCAACAGTCTGAGGCAGCAGTGAGAGGGGAGGGGTGAAAATGCAGTGAACATTCCTTCTGCGTGTTTCTATTTGGCAAGAAACCTTCTGTTTTCCTAATGGAAACTTTGACACACTCAGCCTGTATCTTTTCATCCATATCCAGCTCATCTTCTGAACATTCTTAGACCTTTATTCTGTCAGACAAGAAAAAAATAGGAAAGGTCACTAAAATCTCAGTCTAATTTAGCTGTGATGCTTTCGTGGTAAAGTACTTGAGGGAGTTCATTGCTTCGTGTGAGTACATCACGAACCCTCAATGCAGGGGAGGGAAAGCAGCCTCATCAGTAAGTACTAACTTTCCAAAGAGCTCAAGACTCTGGGGACTCCAGAAAGTTTGAAAAAAAAAAAAAAAAAAAGAACAGATGGATGAAAAAAGACACTTTCAATTCCTGACCACAAGCACCAAACATAAAGATTCTAGAATTTCATCCATGATAGCAAGGCCATCCCCACATTTTCAACACTTCTTTTGGTTTTAAAAATGCTGATATTTATGATATTTAAAAATGATTTACATCACTAATCATCAGGGAAATGCAAATTAAAACCACAATGAGACACTACCTTACTCCTGCAAGAATGGCCATAGTTTAAAAATAAAAAAATATTAGCTGTTATGTGGTGAGTAGGGAACATGTTTACATTGACACTAGCATAGTGCAACCACTATGGAAAACAGTATGTAGATTCCCTAATAAACTAAAAGTAGAACTGCTATTTGATCCAGCAATCCTACTACTGGGTATCTACCCAGAGGAAAAGAAGTCATTATATGAAACAGACATTTGCACACACGTTTACAGCAGCACAATTTGCAATTGAAAAAATATGAAACCAGCCTAAATGCCCATCAACCAATGGGTGGATAAAGAAAATGTGGTATACATACATCATGGAATATTACTCAGACATAACAAGGAACAAAATAATGGTATTCTCAGTTAACTGGATGGAATTGGAGACCATTACTATAAGAGAAGTAACTCAGGAATGGAAAACCAAATATCATATGCTCTCAGTTATAAGTGGGAGCTAAGCCATGACAATGCAAAGGCATAAGAATGATATAATAGACTTTGGGGACTTGAGGGGACAGGTGGAAGAGGGGTGAGGGATGAAAGACTACACATTAGGTACAGTGTACACTGCTTGGGTGACGGATACACCAAAATCTCAGAAGTTATCACTAAAGAACTTATCCATGTTACACTCAAAAACTTACTGAAATAAAACATTAAAAAATGGATTCTGGAACATCTAAACCTGGATTAGTAACATGCAGGTACTTCCAAGTAGAAGTTGAGTCATCTTTTCTTTCTTCCAACTATAATTCAAGCACTGAAATTTAACATACTATTTTGTTCTACTTACTGCTATGTAGACGTTTTCCTCATGTAAAATTAAGGATAGTAATGCTAAATTATGCTCATGTGTCTAGGGAGGAAGGTAAATGAAAAATCTGTATCTTGACTCTTGGTCAATTTCCTCTTTTATTCTAAATCTTCCTCATTCCTTTCATGATGCTCTGCCTTGTTCTCATCCCCATCCCTCTCAGAAGATGACCTCCCCTGTCCTTCAAGGAGAAAAGAGAGGCTGTTATATGTTGAACTCATCGACTTCCTGTTGTTTCGCCTGCCAGTTTTTCTGAATCTATTCAGATCCTTTTCTTTTTTCTTTTTTTTTTTTAATGTTCCAATCAAACTTTATTTTACAAAATCAGGTGGAGGAATAAGACCTTTGCCATAATTTGCATCTCCTAAGTTAATTGGATAAAATAATTAATTGCAGAGTAGGAAACACTAATAGCTAGGTGTAGCTCCAATAATATTAGCCTTTTGGCAGGAGCTTTTTAAAAACACGAAGCTTTGAATGATTGTTTGCCAAAATGGATATTTTTTTTCAACATTATTTTGTTTAATATTTAGAGAGTTCTTTTTTTTTATAGCATTTTAGGTTTTGGGGTACATGTGAAGAACATGCAAGATTGTTGCATAGGTACACACATGGTGGTGTGATTTGCTGCCTTCCTCCCCATCATCTATATCTGGCATTTCTCCCCATGCTATCTGTCCTATTTCCCCCCAACAGACCCCAGTGTGTAATGCTCCCCTCCATGTGTCCATGTGTTCTCATTGTTCAACACCCACCTATGAGTGAGAATATGCAGTGTTTGATTTTCTGCTCTTGTGTCAGTTAGCTGAGAACGATGGTTTCCTGGTTCATCCATGTCCCTACAAAGGACACGAACTCATTGTTTTTGATGGCTGCATAATATTCCATGGTGTATATGTGCCACATTTTCCTTGTCCAGTCTATCATCCCTGGGCATTTGGGTTGGTTCCAGGTCTTTGCTATTGTAAACAGTGCTGCAATGAACATATGTG